CTAACTCTTGACCCTGAGATCAAGGGTTGTACACTCTACTGAATGAGCCAGCCAGGCGACCCTGTTATCATTTGCAATGGATGTGTTATACACCATTCCTATATAACTGGACTTGAAGCTTGTTTTTAATTTTTATTTAAAAAAAATTTTTTTTTTTCAACATTTATTTATTTTTGGGACAGAGAGAGACAGAGCATGAACGGGGGAGGGGCAGAGAGAGAGGGAGACACAGAATCGGAAACAGGCTCCAGGCTCTGAGCCATCAGCCCAGAGCCCGACGCGGGGCTCGAACTCACGGACCGCGAGATCATGACCTGGCTGAAGTCGGACGCTTAACCGACTGCGCCACCCAGGCGCCCCTTGTTTTTAATTTTTAGATAATGCCATAATTTTCACTGTCAGTTCCTTTTTTTCCTTTTTGTTTTTTTTTTTCCTGTTGGAGGTATTTCCTTATGCTAAATTCTCAAGGTTAGAATTACTAAAATAACGTGTTGAATTATTTTTTTAAGAGTTTTTTTTTTTTAATGTTTATTTTTGAGAGAGAGAGTGTGCATAAGCGAGGGAGGGGCGGAAAGAGAGGGAGACAGAGGATGCCAAGCAGGCCCCATGCTGCCAGTACGGTCCGACGTGCAGCTCAAACCCATGAACCATGAGATCATGACCTGAGCCAAAGTTGGACACTTAACAGACTGAGCCACCCAGGAGCCCCAAATTATTTTTTACTTTAACCCTTTACCCCTCCCCCATCAGCAAATTCCCAAATGTTGATTCTTTGATAATGGATTTGGCATAAGTCTCTTCCTTTCTCACTGTTTCAGCCAATTCTATCACATGCCAGGGTTATTGCACCCTTTTTTCCCCTGATTTTCCACGTCTCCAGTGTTTCCACTTTCTAATTCACCTTTTCATCCTGCCAGATTAATTGTCCTAAAACACTGCTTTGAATTCATTCATTAACAAGTATTTACTGAATGTGTGCCACCTGCCAGATATTAAACTCCTTAACTGGTGTTTCAGGGTCTGAACATTCTCCCCTCATTTACTTAAAAAAAATTAAAAAAAATATTTTTTTTAACGCTTATTTATTTTTGAGACAGAGACAAAGCATGAACGGGGGAGGGTCAGAGAGAGGGAGACACAGAATCTGAAACAGGCTACAGGCTCTGAGCTGTCAGCACAGAGCCCGACTCAGGACTCGAACTCACGGACCGCGAGATCATGACCTGAGCCGAAGTCGGCTGCTTAACCCAACTGAGCCACCCAGGTGCCCCCCCCCCAAATTTTTTTTAGTGTTTATTTATTTTTGAGAGAGAGAGGGAGAGAGAGAGAGAGAGAGAGCGCACATACGAGCTGGGAATGGGCAGAGGGAGATGGAGATAAAGAATCCGAAGAAGTCTAGGCTCTGAGCTGTCAGCACAGAGCCCGATGTGGGGCTCAAACTCACAACTGTGAGATCATGAACCAAACTCTGATGCTTAACTGGAGCCACCAGGCGCCCCTCCTCTCATTTACTTTATATCAGCCCTCTCACCCACCATCTCCTGATCATGCCATTTCCATTCCCATGTGTGACATTTTGTTTTAGAATGAGCTTCTATTTAGAATTCAATCTGCCTCCTTTTTCATTTCCTTTAGTTTGACTCTTTAAAGCCCAGGTTCGGTCTCAGTCTTCCCTCCATGAAACCTCAGTTTTTTGATTCTTCAATTTATACTCTTGTTTTTAAACTGTTGGATTTAAGCAAGCAGTATCCTCAAGTGGCTCTCGTTTTATTCACCAGATAAACTTCAAATTCCTTGACCTTTTGTTTAACGCTTTCCAAGATCTGGCCCCATTTTTTAGTACCTAACATGAGCTGTCTGACTTACCTAGACTCCTCTACTTTTTATTCTTTAAATACCCCAACCCCCTTCCCACATCCATGCTTTTTTTTGCTTTTTTGTTCTTTGTCCCATCTTTTCTACCTTTCAAATCTTAACCATTTTCTTTAACAGTTTTTTTGCTTTTAGTTTAATTTTATTAATGACATTTGCATTTTGAACAGAAAGCCAATTCAGGGGTCCCTAGTTAAACATCGACTTTTGATTTCTGCTCAGGTTATGATCTCAGTTTGTGAGATCTCACAGTTTGGGTTGGGCTCTGTGCTGACAGTGCAGAGCCTGCTTGGGATTCTCTCTCTGCCTCTCCCCCAGTCCCAATAAATAAGTAAACATTAAAAAAAAAAAAAGCCAATTCATGGAACAATATATAATCTGTGTGGAAGGCCCCAGACTTAACTTTTTACTTTTCTTTTACAAATCTTTCTTTCTTTTTATAAAAGTAATGCTTAAAAAAAAAAAAAAAAAGATAATACATGAGGCATCTGACTGTCTCAGTCGGTAGAGCATGCAATTTTTGCTCTCAGGGTTGTGAGTTCAAGCCTCATGTTGGATGTGGAGCCTACTTAAGAAAAAAAAAGTAATACAAGATATGTATGTATATATAAGATTTTTAAAAACAAATTATAAAAATAAAGATATCTATAGGGGCAAAAAGTATATATCCTAATGGTTAATGGTTTCTATTACCTCTTCTTCCAGGTTATCCCTCTTAAAATAACCAGCATTAAAGGCTTGGTATCTTGGTATGTGTCCTTCCACACCTGTCTCTTTGCCCCTGTGCCCAGACTGTATGGACTACTAAGTGCTGCTCCTTTTGCCCCAACAAAATCGGGAGCACACCCTACACCAGCAGTTCTCAGAATGTCCAGGATCTCTGCGGGTTCCCTAAGACACTTTAAGGACGTCTGCAAGCATAACTGGTTTTATTATAGACTAAGGTGTTCATTGTCTTTTTTTGCTGGGTTGACATTTGCTCTGAGGGTGCAAAAGCCAAGGTGGGGAAGACCGCTGGCCCCTTAGCACTAATCAAGGTGGTTGCACCAAACGACCAGTCATTGTGTTCTTTGCCGCCACATGGTTGCAGTAAATAAGGCCAGTTTCACTTAAGAATATCCTTGATTATGCAATACGATTTGCTAATTTTATTAAAACCTGGCCCTTGAATACACCTCTTTTTACTTATTTTTTTTCCAGCTCTATTGAAATATAATTGACATATAACATTGTGTAGGTTTCAGGAGTGCAGTGTGATTTGATGCATGTATATATTGTGAAATGTTTACACAATAAGGTTAGTTAACACATCCTTCACTTCACGTAATCGCCATCCATCTTGTTGTTAAAACTGTACTCTCATAGCAACTTTCAAGAATACAATACAGTTCTGTTAATAATGGTTATCATGCTGTACCTTAGATTCCTCACAACTTAACTCATTTTGTAACTGGAAGTTACTCATCTCTTTCATGTTCTCTGTGGACTAATTGGGAAGTAAGGATGAAACACTACCGCACACTGGAGTAAGGTGGTGTCTTAAGGAAAAGCACTGGCGCAATTGTCTGCAAGTCACAAGCTAAACAGCTTCCTTTTCATGGAACACCATTTTTACTTAAAAGAACCACTGACAAACCAGTAATTCAGAACTGGGAATCTGATTGGCATTTTCCTGAAAATGAAGGAAGTGAACCCGTCATTTCAAGGAAAACAACTGACAGTATTTGTTGCCGATGGTAAAATTCAAGGCTTCAAGTAAAAATCAGAATTTTGGAAAAGTGATATTTGCCACTGCCAGCTTGGCAGCTTCCCAGTAAAGACTTTTCTGAGGATATTAGCGAATATGGTTTTTTAAAAAATATTGCATGGTGAAATGGATAATATTGCAAAATAAGAGCAGAAGGGAGATCCTGAAATAAAAAAACTTGGAGGATAACTACTCTATATGTTATCCTGCAACTTGCTTTTTCACTTAGTGTATCATGAACACCATTCAAGCCAAAGTCAATGCATTTATTTATTTTTTATTGTGTTTTCAATGTGTATTGATAGATGCAACTATATAAAATCAGGGCATGAACATGACTTGATAAAGTAAGTAGACTTAATTTCAATTCTATAATAAGAGGGACCAATTCAGATTCTCACCATTTGTTTCACACCCACAAAACCACTTCAGGGGCATTAACGATCCGTCAAAACTGATCAGTTTTGTGCAAGTAAACCATGTTTGTTTTTTAAAGACTTGTGTACTTGCCCAGGCACAAGGATATTAAAATCTAGCACATAAAGCTCATTAATAGAGGTAGAAATACAGGCAATATACTATTACAGCAACAGCCATCATTACAGTTAAGAATTTTTCTGTAACAACCAAATGGATAATCAAATATTGCAACAACTCAAGTATTACTGAGCAAAGTGCATTTCTAGTGTTCAGTGTTGCTGTTCATTTTTTCTAACTTACAACAGCGTATAACTGGCAGCAAAGAAAGTCAGTGCATTTATATCAGACATTCTTTTTTCATAAGAGCATGGTGTTCCACGCTCTTATGGATGATCCACATGTATTCGATTGTTCATTTATTGGTGGTCATTCAAGTTGCCTCAGTTTTTGCTGTTTTAAATAATGTAGCAACAAACATCCTTTACAAATATCCTTGTGTACTGGCGCTTTTATATCTATAGTATGGATTCTTAAAAGTTGACCTGTTTTTCATGACCCATCTTAATAAAGCTTCCCCTGTCTACATCTTCTCTCGTCATTTCTCCTTGCTACGGTTCTTGTTTTTGCCCTCTTTTGGCCCCTTTTTCAGTTATTGCCTTTTGATGCCCCAATGCTATTATTGTCTTGTGTTTTTTTTTTTTAAAAACTCTTCCTCTGTGCCTGTCCTCTTGCCAACTAGATTAAAAATAGAAAATAGTGTAAAAATAGAAACTCCTGAGGGCAGGGATGGTGTATTATACCTCAGTAAATAATGCGCACTCAGCTATTATGCACTCAGCTAAATGGCTGCATTTAATAGACAGATGGGTGCCCAGGGAAGCTGTATACATTCACTCATGTTTTCAAATTGGGAACTATTTGAAAGTTACAGTAACTGTCTAACTTAATTCTCTCATTGCAGGCAAATACATTGCCTCAACACAACGACCCGACGGGACCTGGCGGAAGCAGCGGAGGGTGAAAGAAGGCTATGTGCCCCAGGAGGAGGTCCCAGTGTGCGTGGTTAGGCGTGAGGAGGGGGTATTTAATGGAATCCACAGAAAAGAAGAATCTCCTGATCCCAATATCTCATGAAATGCGAGGAGAGAGCAACTATATGAGAAAGAAGAGGAGAGGGGGCTGGGATACAGCGATGAGTGAGGGTTACAAGTGACTAGTTCTGTTCCTATTGGCCTCTGTTTATCAGAATCTCCAAACAGCATTCAGGATATGGAACTATGAGTCCTAGAGACCTTCCCACAGCCTGCAGAACAGAAGAAAATTGGGGAGGGACCATAGGAGAGGAAGGAAGCGAGAGAATGAAAAGAGTGGATTGATTTGGAAGGTTAAGAAAAGGGCTCCAGAAGTTAGTGCTTCTTTGAAACTGTTGGCATCTCTTCCCTGCAGGTATGAGAACAAGTATGTGAAGTTTTTCAAGAGTAAACCCGAACTGCCCCCAGGTCTGAGCCCCGAGGCCACTGCTCCTGCCACCCCATCCAGGCCAGAAGGTGGCGAACCAGGCCTCTCCAAGACAGCCAAACGCAACCTGAAGCGGAAGGAGAAGCGGCGGCAGCAGCAAGAGAAAGGGGAGGCAGAGGCCTTAAGCCGGACTCTCGATAAGGTGTCCCTGGGAGAGACTGCCCCACTCCCCAGCGCTCCGCAGGGCTCCCGGGCAGCCCCTGCAGCTGCCTCTGACCAGCCTGACTCAGCCGTCACCACCGAGAAGGCCAAGAAGATAAAGAACCTAAAGAAGAAGCTTCGGCAGGTGGAAGAGCTGCAGCAACGGATCCAGGCTGGGGAAATCAGCCAACCCAGCAAAGAGCAGCTGGAGAAGCTAGCGCGGAGGAGGGCGCTAGAGGAGGAGCTCGAGGACTTGGAGCTGGGCCTGTGAGGCCTTTGGGGAGCAGGGAATGGACTGCAGAAAAAACCATGGGGCTCTCTGGGGTCCTGGGGAATGTGGGCAGCAGCAGTCAGGGGGGTACCCCCTCCCTACTGACTCACTTCCACTTCTCGTGGCCCAACTCCGTCCTCCGGAGCCTAGCCTCGCCGTCATTCCTTCCCTCTTCTTCCCAACTCCTATTTTTTGGACTTTTCTCCCTCCCATTCCCAGTGTTCAAAATCTCAGTGATTACCCCAGGTACCTTTGCTGCTGATTTGGGTGTCTTGTTTAAAAGAAAATTGGGCGGGTGGGAATGTCTTAGAGAACTGAGGTTGAGGGTAGGGGGAGTACACTCAAGTCGGAGTCTTGGTTCCTGTTCACAGTGTTTATGGGTTATTTCCCCCGCCATCCCTCACCGTTTTTTTTTTTTTTTTGTTTTTTTTGTTTTTTTGGTTTTTGTTTTTTGTTTTTTTTTAAAGAACAGAATAAACTCAAGTAGACAACATGTCTGGCTTTGTCCCTCTTTCCAGCTTCCAGTAGGTGTATTATCTCCTCCAGTTTGGTACAGGAAGACAAATATTGAGAGTAATATTCCTTTTTTTTTTCTTTTTCAAGTAGGCTGCATGCTCAGTGTGGAGCCCAACACCGGGCTTGAACCCACGATCCTGCGATCAAGATCAAGACCTAAACTGAGATCAAGAGTCAGATGCTCAATAACTGAGCCACCCAGGTTCCCTTCCTCCCTCCACCCGCCCCCCATTAACTATTTTGAGAGAGGGAGAGAAAGCATTCGGGGAGCATGTGAACAGGGGGAGGGGGCAGAGAGAGAGAGAGAGAGAGAGAGAAAATGAGAATCTCAGGCAGGCTCCATGCCCAGTGTGGAGCCCCAGGCAGGGCTCGATCTCATGAACTGTGAGATCATGACCTGAGCTGAAATCAAGAGTCAGCTGCTTAACCAGCTGAGCCACCCAGGCGCCCCCTATTCCTTTTAATTTTTAAAAATTGTGAGTGTATGACCAAATTAGTGACCCTGATTTCTGTACCTGTTTGCTCAGACTTCAGTGAATAGTAATTAGGTTATAATAAAAGGAAACTTAGAACAAATTGAATTTGACATGTTAATTTACATGTGTCATTACTCTCCTGCTGCATAACAGTGGGGCCTTTGTACCTTCCTTACTGTTTCTTTCCAAAAATAATCCACTTCACAGCATCACTGGGGCAGCTCTTCTGAAATTTTATTTTCTTAGATGCTACCCCAAGATGGCATTGTCTGACAAACTAATACAAGAAGAGGCATTTAGAGCTGTCACTTAATTTTTGCATATCTGATTCCCACACCCTCACCACAATCTTTCTTTCTAGCCAGCTGCTAGTGTAGAGACCAATGGAAGGGAAGTCAACTGTAATGAACTGCCTCCGTTGTTCAGAGTTTTTAGCCTGACTCATAAGGTCCCATACAATCTAGCCTCATTTTTTGCCATTCTTCAGCTCTGGTCAAAATGTGCTCCCAAGTGCACTGACTACTTTCTATTAAAAGAGCCATATTCTCTCTGAGCCTCAGAGAGGCTTTGTCCTTTCTGATCCCTCTGCTTATAATATTCTTGCTGACCCCTTCTGCCTCGTCAACTCTTAGCCTTTGAATCTCAGTGTTATCCTCTCTAGGAAGACTTCCGTTAACTTCAAATATATATATATATATTTTCAACGTTTATTTATTTTTGGGACAGAGAGAGACAGAGCATGAACAGGGGAGGGGCAGAGAGAGAGGGAGACACAGAATCGGAAACAGGCTCCAGGCTCTGAGCCATCAGCCCAGAGCCCGACGCGGGGCTCGAACTCACGTACCGCGAGATCGTGACCTGGCTGAAGTCGGACGCTTAACCGACTGCGCCACCCAGGCGCCCCTAGCTTCAAATATTAATTTAGATGCCTCTCTGAACTTGCTTCCTTACTTAGGTTTGTGATGGGATTTATTATATTATGTTATGCTTGGTTCCGTGTTAGCCCTCCTCCTTGTTAGATCATTGCACTCATCCAGCCCTGGGACTGTTTATCATTGCATCACACTACCCCAAATAGTAAATTCTCAAATACTTAATGAATAAGGCCACAAGCCATGTATAGAAACAGAAGACGAGGGATAATTTGTGCCTCAAATGGCTGAGCTCATTAGTAAGGACTTGCCTGGGCACCTCAGTGTGAGACTAAAAGCCTGAGTTTCCTTCTGTAGGACCCCTGCACAATTACGAAAATTTTATAAATAAGGCTTAATTGGCTTATGTATATAGATATTTGATATTTTATAAGTTCAGATGTTTTAGAGGAATCATACTTAACTATTACTAGGGAGAGATTAAGTGCTTTGCAAAAGGATTTACCTCAGTAAACCTTTGAATTTCCTGGATCTTTATTTTATTTTTAAAATTATTTTTAAAATGTGTTTCTTAATGTTTTTAATTATTTTTGAGAGAGAGCGCACAAGTGGGTTAGGGATGGGGGCGGGGGGAGGGGTGGGCAGAGGATCTGAAGTGGGCTTTGCTCTGACAGCAGCAAGCCCGATGTAGGGCTCGAACTCATGAATTGTGAGATCATGACCTGAGCCGAAGTTGGATACTTAACCAACTGAGCCACCCAGGTGCTTCTAAATTTTCTGGATCTTGGGGCGCCTGGGTGGCTCAGTCGGTTAAGCAGCCGACTTCGGCTCAGGTCATGATCTCGCGGTCCGTGAGTTCAAGCCCCGCGTCGGGCTCTGTGCTGACTGCTCAGAGCCTGGAGCCTGTTTCGGATTCTGTGTCTCCCTCTCTCTCTGCCCCTCCCCCGTTCATGCTCTGTCTCTCTCTGTCTCAAAAATTAATAAACGTTAAAAAAAATTAAAAAAAAATAAATTTTCTGGATCTTAAGTAGTTTTATACAAGTTTATTTTGATATTTGTTGGGCCCTGTTAGTCATTGTGCCAATCTGGAGGGATGCAATTATGAATACAGGGATGCAATTATGAGTATGTAGAACCTTCATTTAAGGAAGCTATAAGTTGTGTAAATCACTAATTGAGTACTAGGCACATTAATTAAGTGCTAGGGTAGAGGTACCAGCACTGTTTTGAGGGAGAACTAAGAGAGAAATAATTTCTTCTGATTGGAGGAATGGAAAGACTTAATGATGGTGTTGGATTTTGAAGAAGATTATGACTCATATCTCAACAAAGGCAGGTAGGGGAGAGCAACTGTGCACAAAGGCTTGGCAGCATGGAAGAGATATGGTGAATTTGGTTTCAATTCTGTAGGGGCACTTTTCCTTAGCAAAACACCAGTGTTGATATAGGATGAAAATTTACACATAGACTGGCTAGTGTTTTTCAAAATGTGAGTCATGAAATCAATTTAGAAAGTTCTGGCCAGTAGGATGTTGGGGTTTTTTTTCTTCAAGGTTTTAAGTATTTTCTACATCAAGTATGGGCCTTGAACTTACAACCCCAAGATCAAGAGTCATATGCTCTACTGACTGAGCCAGCCAAGCACCCTACTAGTGGTGTTTCTAAGTGGAGTAGACTAGAAAATAGCAGAGACTGATGCTTAATAAGGATAAATATGTCTCATGATAATTTTGTTTCCAGTGTTGAGTGAGGATATAAAATGTATTCCTTACCTTGGTTTGCAGAAAAATACATTTGAAAGCCACTGATAAAATCAATACCAAGGGGCTGGGGCATCACACATTCTCTCTCTGGTCTCTCTCTTTGGGATGGTTGGGGTAGAAGGTTATTAGTTTAATTATTTCCCCAATGGGCCCTTATAGCTTATGGCAAAGTAAATTAGCTCCTTGCTTTTTTTATACTCTTGAAGCTATATTACTATTTATTTGGCAATTCTTTCCCCTTTGCTGATGATTCCTCCTAATGTGTAAATAGCAAAGATTCTAGAGATCTGAAAGTGAGTTAATTTAGAATTGGCCATTTACCTTCATGGTCTCAGAGCCCTTATTTTATTTTATTTTACTTTATTTTACTTTATTTTATTTTATTTTATTATTTCATTTCATTTTTATATATTTTTTCATTTTTTCTATCGTGTCATGTGATGTCATATCATATATCATATCATATCATATCATATCATATCATATCATATCATATCATATCCTATCTTATCCTTTTATAGAAACAGAGTGCAAGTGGGGGAGAGGGGCAGAGGAAGAGAGAACGAGAATCCCAGGCAGGCTCCATGCTCAGCCCAGGGCAGGGATCCATCCCAGGATCGTGGGACCATGACCTGAGCCAAAATAAAAGAGTTTGTGTGGCTCAAGGGGCTGAGCCACCCAGACACTCCGTGTTAGTTTCTTTTTATCCACTAGGTGGTGCTGTGAGGGGCTGGCATTTGCAAGTTAGCCTGTCTCTAGACTCCAGCTTGTTTTGAAATTAGCGGATAGGGTTACTTAATCAGAAAATCTTTTCTCTTCAAGTTCCCAGGCATTCCATCACAGGGCATATAGATCTCCCTTTCCTCTCCAACTATAACTTCCTTTTACAAATTGAGGAGGTTAGAGAATCTGGGATCAAGAAGGTAAAATTTTTTGTCAGTATTGCCATCTCTCAAAAGAGATCAGAAATGGTTTCCATTCCCCCCTAGAGATCAAAGAAGATGCTGAACTGCAGTGGAAAAAGGTGGAGGTTATACCCCAAAAAGAATAACTGGTTTATGGGGCAACAGAATTGGCTGAGAGGAGGGAAGGGAGGAGATACTAAAGGATATCTTCCTTGGGAAAGCAACAAATCGTAGAATCTGATTATATTCAGCAAACATTTTTCAAGAGCTTTCTATAGGCCAGGAGAACACGAAGTTGAGTAAGTTTAAGTACCTGGGGTGCCTCGGTGGCTCAGTCAGTTAAGCGTCTGACTCTTGATTTCAGCTCAGGTCATGATCTCACAGTTTCATAAATTTGAGTCCCACATCCAGCTCTGCGCTGA